AAGCCCTGAGATCCTTGGTAAGTTAATTTTGGTCTCAGACATGTCTGGCCATCGGCAGCAACAGGGAAGCCAAAAACATTGATGAGGATTCAAGGGCACCTCTGGTGTACTCTTTCCTTTTCTTCCTCTACTTCCCCTTGTGTTTCGTTTTTTGAGACAGAATCTCTCTATGCAACCCTAGCTTGCATAACTTAACTTGTTGTGTTAACCAGGATGATCTCAAATTCATAGAGATCCACCTGCCTCGGTCTTCCTGGTATTAGGATTAATACCTATACCACCATACTTGGCCCTTAACCTACTATTTAACCAGGTTTTCTACTTTTTAAGCCAAGTAGAAAAGAATTGAGAGGATATAAAGAAATAGCAACAGTCTGAAAGAAGAGCCTTTGAAAACAAGAAAATTGGAAGGCAGTGGGGTGCAGTGGTGCAGGCTGGTGAGCCCAGCACTCAGGGAGACAGAAACAGGTGGATCGCTGTGAGTTCAGGCCAGCCTGGTCTGCAAAGCGAGTCCAGGACAGCCGAGGCTACACAGAGAAACCCTGTCTCGAAAAATCAAAAATAAATAGGTCAACAAACAAACAAATAGAAAAAGAAAACTGGGGAACTAAAGTAGGAGCTATTCCAGCCTAAAAAAGGGCCTGAAAATGCCAACAAACTAGACCTTTAAGGTCAGTGGGCCCATAGTATGTGAATGCTTAAAAATAACCCCTTTTATAGAAGGAAGCTAGGACTTGGCTGGGTTGAGTAGGTTAAAACCTCACAACCACTAAAAACTTCAGTCACTCTAGGAAAACTGTTCTATCTATCCAATGCATTGACCTTATTAAGCTCACCTCCCTCAGGTCAGATAATAATAAAGCACACATTCTCCAACTTGGGGCTACTCCAGAGATTGGGTGCATCCTTTTATGAGCAAAAGCAAAATACTCCGTGGGGCCATGATACTACACAGCCCACCTGCTACAAATACCCCAATCTCCTCCACCCCCACAATCTACCTTTGCCATTGACTAGTACATTGTAACAGACACTGGCAATGGCAGATCTCTTAGACTGAAGATGCTGGGGAATACAGAGCAGAGATATTATCCTTTGTGTGTAAGGAATTAAAACCATAGGAACGTTGGGGATCCAATCAAAGGCAGAAGTGTGCACAGGTCCACAATGTTCTTCGTTCCTTGAACACATTTCCCTAGTTATTCAATGCCTCCTGTGTGACAACCCTCCAATCTTGAACAGTTTGAGTTTCTCTTCCTTAGACTTCTTCAATACCCACTACCAAGCCAGGTGTGTGGCACACTGCTTTAATCCAGCACCTGGGAGGAGGCAGATGGCTCTAGGTTCCTGGCCAGCCTGGACTACCTAGAGAAACCCTGTCTCAGAACAAACAAAGCCCAAACCAAAACGCCCTACCACAGTAGGTTCCCACTAGCAAAAGCTACAAATATCCGTGTGTGGTGACAAGTCTGCTATAGTCCCAGGAACATAAAAAGTTCAGGCAATAGGATCACTTGAGCCCAAAAAGTTGAGACCAGGGTAAGTAATTTGGTGAGACTCAGTCTAAATATAACAGAAACAGTTGGACCTATCTGTGATCTCAGCACTCAGAAAGCTAAACCAGGAGGATTTTCATAATTTCTTAGAAAATAAAAATTAAAAGTTGAAAAAAAAAAAAAAAAAAAACTTAGACCAGGGGAGATAGCTCAATGGGTGAAGACACCAGCCGGCCTAGCAAACCTGACCACCTCAATTTGATCCCTGGACCCCATGTAAATACATCAGCATGAACCTGTAACCACAGCACTGCTTCAGGAGAGGTGGGAGGTAGAGAAAGAATAATAGCCTAGAAGCCGACTAGACACCTTGCCTGGAACATGCAGCATGGCAGAAAGAGAGAGAGAGCCTGCCTCAACAAGGTGGAAGGTGAGAACTGATTCCCACATGTGCACCATGGCAGGCAAGTACCCATGTACATACATGTACTAAATTATATTTTAAAAAATAAAAAATTTTAGCCAGGCAGTGCTGGTACATGCCTTTAATCCCAGTTTTTAATCCCCTTAGAAGATCTCTGTAAATTAGAGGCCAGCCTGGTCCACAGAGCAAGTTCAAGGACAGCCAGGCCTACATAGAGAAACCCTGTCTCAAAAAACAAACAAACTAATTAATTAATAAAAATAAAAGCCACATATTTAAACATGGTAAAGATAGCATTATGTGTAATAGCAGTTGGGGGGAAACTATTGAACCCATTTCTCTCAGTGTTTTAACTGAATATTCAGGAGAGATCTTTGGCTGTGTCCAGAATTGAAGACATGAGTTAAATAACCATTTGAAAGCCTGCATCATCTTGTATTCACTCCACCACCAAGTAGATAAACCCATGAATTTGCACCTAGGAATTAGTGCACAACTTTGAATTGAGCAATTTACAGGGCGAAAGTACAGTGTGTTTGAACAAATAACAGTTCTAAATCATCCCTTCCAGGCATTTTTAAATTAATGCTCTTTCCTGTATATTTCAGTAACCCTAAGTATTTATGTAATCCCTCTAATTTGAGATTTCAGCACAATCCCTCTGATTTCAAATTTTAGAGATTCTGTCTTAATTTGCTACCATTTTTTTTTTCTTTAGACAGAGGTGTCTCATTTAGCCCAGGCTGGGCTCCTACTATTGGTATAGCCAACATTGGCCTTGAATCCTGATCCTCCTGCCTCTTCCTTTCCAATACTGAAATCACAGTGAAGGTCCACCACATCTAGCAGTTTACTCTTTGGATACTGTAAAAACATCAAGAAAAATGGGCTGGCAGATAAGGAAACAGATCCTTAGGTTCTCTGGGATACAAGTCCAGGTCTTAGTGCATTAACATTCTGGTATTTCACTTATTTTCTATCAGTACCTATTTTTTCAAGTAGTTGTTAAGAGTAAGTGTGTGTGTTTGTATTTATAGAGTACTCTGAGTAGGACCTAGAATATAGTGAGTTTCCATTGCTATTACTGTTATTTACAAGACCCTAATATTTGCATACTGCAGGACATAGCTGCTCCAAAGGGGCAGGTTGTTGCTAGCTAACAGGTGGAAGGCATGTGATGTGAAGAGTGTCCCTATAAGGTCAATGCTTCTGATTCCGCTCTGACAGAAAGACTAGCAGAACACAGTTTGTGGGGTTTTTCTGGAAGCATGAACCCGCTGCTACTATGAAAACCTGAGGCTAGACTAAGAGATCCCCATTTAGGAGAATGTCACCAATTGTGTGAACATGCGCTCGGTCAGTTTACCCTAAGCTAGGTGAAGCAGCCTTTGGGAGACTGAGATAGAATTGCTATGAGTTCAAGGACAGCCTAGGCTACGTGATAAGATACTATCAAAAACAAAACACACACAAATAAAACAAGACCATGAACTGTCCTAGAATTTTAAAACCAATTATACTCTAGAAGGAGAACAACAACAAAAAAATCAACAGTCTCCAAAGACAAGCATCATTCCATTTCTGATACTGGCAGGGGCTACAGACTTTATAAACAGATCAGCTTGGGTTACAGTTTTAGAGCAAATCACTGTATTCCTCTGAACCTCACCTTTCTCTTTAAACAGAATTTGGGAAAGATGCCCAGTGTGGTAGCACATATCTGTAATCCCAACTGGGATTAATTACCCACTAGAGAAATAGGAGAAGGGCATATAGAAAGGACAGAGGAGAGTCACTAGAATTGTGACATTTCAATGATGTTATATAAGAGACAAATTCTTAACACTAAGCTTGTCACACGTCAAGCATTCAGTTGGTACTGGTACCTCTGTCCAAAGCTAAGGCCACAGCCTATAGACATGTCAGAACTAAGCCTCAGATATTGAAGCTTTGGATACCGCCACCTTCTGCCTCCCCATCTGTCCAGAACCAACTCCTGGATTTCCTTCTCACCTTCCCAACCCCAGACTGTGAAATTGATGAAGCTAAAAGGGTTTAATCATGTTGATATATTTATATGTAAATACAAAACTGTACCACTGTAAGATATTGAATATGAACATTACAATTATTTACTGAATCTGACTCAGTCCATTGATGTTAAATACAAAATGAAATGATTGTAAAAAATAAGAATATACACATTCAAAGATCTTATTACAGTATAAAATTATTGAGCTCTGACCAGCTGCCAACCTCATCTTCTAGAGTAAAGGAAGATTTAGGGGTTCCTGTGGGGTTTTGTGGAAACATAGACTATTGGAAACTCTTGATTTCATTCCTGGTGAATCAGACTGGAAAAAGGTAGGAACAAGTTGGATGGACAGGAGACCAGTGATTACAAGGAACCACTTTATCCAGCCAAGGGGACTGCATGCTTTATAAGGACACAGACCATCCAGTTTGAGGTCTAGGATCTGGCAGCATAGCAGGCAGGGAGAGCGGGACGTCTCTCTGGAGTTGCATAAAGAAAGGGATCTTACAACAACAACAACAACAAAAAAAAAAAAAAATGGGGGGAGTCCACTTTGTCCTTCTAGGAAGGGAGGAATTTCATAGTAGGTTCCTCTTGTTCACTCCAGGACTCTCCTTCTTTCCTTTTAAAACTTCGTACCGATTACTTTTGGCTCTGGCAGCTCTGTAAATTCATCTCTAGCCTTGGTCCCCAATGCTGGGGCAGTAAGACAGAGTCTGGAATCACAGTGGAGGTCTGTTCCCCAAATCAGCAAAGTAAACAGAGAATTTGTTAGAAGAAGGACAGCCATGCTAAACTGAACCAGTGTTACCATAAGTCAGTATTTTTGGCTCCAACAACATCGAGTCCAGCGGGAAAGATGTTATTAAGTAAGAGGGCCTGTGGCCCAGGAACAAAAAAAAAGTATGTGGTGTCTTTTATCACTCTGCTGTCTGACATCAGGAGCCATGACCTCCATCCCCGCCTACTTCAAAATAATCAACAGGGTCCAAGAAGCAAGGAATACTGAACTGCAACATGGAGGCCCAGAAACTTCTACAAAGAGTATCTGTGTGTATATGTATTTATAGAATATGACCATATTATCACATACAGTATATATTATGTACACACATACATATGGATCCATACACAGAAGTGTACATACGTACACGCACACATACAATGACAGAAAAGACTGGAATACACGCCCTATGTATAAACGTGCTTGGCACTCGGGACATTCTCTAGAATATGTAACTTGGTCAAGCTTTCTGGACAGGAAGATGAATGCTCACTAAACCTCCCTGCCAAATCCTAGCAAAGGGAAGGAGGAAACTTGTAGAAGAAGAATGGTGTTGGGAGGTGGGGGGAAGAGCAGGGTCCTTCCCCACTTACCTCAGGGACCCTGGCAAGAATCAATAGCCACAATTTGGTTTTAATAAGGCACAGTTCAATAGCAGGTGCTAGGAATTAAGAACACGTCGCTGCTGGCCCTTTCTAGTGGCACTTTCACCACATTTATCTAGCCAAGGGAAGGCTGCCTTGAGTGCACATGTGCGCTGGGAGACACGGGAAAGAAGTTGATCCATGGCTTCAGCGTAACTGATGGCCACCTATAGGCTCAGCGGTGTCCAGGGTAGTTAAGGAAGGCTGGCCAGCAGGTAGGAACACGTGGAACAGTTACTGACCCTCCATGGCCAACAGGCTGTGACCAGAGGGAACCATGCCTTCCTTCTCTGCAAACTCCAAAATGGCCTTGTAGCAAAAGTAGTACTGCTCAGGGGTCTGGATACTGAAGGCCCTCTGGGTCCTCATTCGTGACACCGTCTGGAACACATTAAGGGTGCCAAGCTCCTCCAGCTGTGCCAGGCAGATGTCCAATGAGCAGAAGGTACCTGAAGAAAGAAGGAAACGATCGAATGAGTGTACTTCTCCTCCTATCTTCTTCCTTTTATCAAATCACCATGCAAGACTGGAAGAATGAATTCAAAGGCAAAGGGCCTGACGGCAGGAGAAGGATCACAGGGTATGCTAATGGCCAGTGAAATGATAGTCTCCTGTCTCTCAGGACATACATGGGGCTAACAATAAGAATGAGCAGGTCAGTGACACAAAGGAACTTCCTGCCTCAATACCAGAAAGCACAACAGCACTTCCACACCCAATTTCCAGAGCCTGTAACTCTCCAGGGATCTAGCACAAATACATTTTTCCTGATTATTCTACCAAAGGGACTTCAGAACTAGTAAATCCAGCCGCTCATAGAGCACACATCCCATTAAGCCAAAACTGTTAACTAGTTCCATAATGAAGAACACAAAACAGGCAAGATGGCACAAGCTTATAATCCCATCATTGGGAGGTTAAAACAAGAGGATTTCTGTGAATTCCAGGTCAGACTGGAACTCACAGTAAGACTTGGTCTCAGAAAAACAAACAATAACAAAAAAGAAAGAGGAAGAAAAGGGAAGGGGAAAGGAGGGAAAAAAACAAGACGAGCATGGGGAGAAGAGCCTCCATGAGAGGGACAACTGATCTCTCTGGGGACCAGAATCATGGTGCTGGCAGAATTGACAAGGTCAAAAGAAGACCATGATGATGAACAGCCCAAAGAATTTGGTTTGTGAAGTATGTATTTTGACAAGTAGTATCCCCAGCATAAGAAATAAAAAAAAATAAGAAACCAAAGCATTAAGAGTGATTACCATAGCAGTTTGCCACCAAGAGACTCAGTGGGCTTTTTCTGTAGTCACAGACAAGCCCTAAGCATTTAGTCTCTCCTCTCCACCCCCACCACCTCTCGACATATCACAGTGTAAGAGGCACAGTACCTGTCCTGCCAATGCCTGCACTGCAATGTACCACAATGGGTGGCTCAGGGCACTGGCCTCTGGAGCGTGGTCCCAGGCTGCCAACGGCCATGCTCTGCTGGTTTCTGACCGCTCTCAGGAAGTCAATGAGGGAAGCTGCTGAGGAAGGGACACCATAATCTGGCCAGCTTAAGAACTGGAAGTGGGTCACCTGGCGTTTCTGCCGCTCCTTACATGAAAAAAGAAGCAACAGTTAATGCTGTTATTGCTGTCTACTCTGACTACCCTTGGCTTTTCCAGATTTTTAATACCTCAGCCTTCATACCAACAGGGATTCTGTCTTCTGCTCTCAACTTTCTTTACAAGTATTTCTCTACCTCAAGCCCCCAAAAAAGGACTAAATGTTCGGGAAGGCAGGGTACCATATCATAGTATCCACATGTCTTGTTTATTATTATTATTATTATTATTATTATTATTATTATCATCATCATCATCATCATCATCATCATCACATTGTTATTATTGCATATTATCGTTTTATTAAAAACAAAAAAAATTAGCCAGAGAGGTAGTCCCCAGGGAAGAGCCCCCCAACTAATTAATTGTCCAGTGCCAAACAGTCAGCTTTGAAAATATAATACAAGTAATTATATGGATTCAATGGGTTATATTTTAAAATACATATGTATATACAAACATGTATATGCATATAAAATAATTAATGAAAAAAGAGGCTATACATTTGAAGGAGTAGGGTTTTATGTTTTTGTTTTTAAAGATTTATTATGTATGCAGTATTCTGCCTGCATGTATGCCTGCAGCCAGAAGAGGGCACCAAATCTCATTATAGATGGTTATGAGCCATCATATGGTTGCTGGGAATTGAACTCAGAACCTCCGGAAGAGCAACAAGTGCTCTTACCTTCTGAGCCATCTCTGGAGCCCAAGCAGGGAGGGTTTAGAGGGAAGAAAGAAAAGGGAGAAATGCTGTAATTAAATTATAGTATATATATAAAAAAAATCTTGCTTACAAAAATTGTCAGCCAGGCACAGTGGCTGACATGCCTATAGTCCCAGCACTCAGGGAGGCAGAAGCAGGTAGATCGGAGTGAGTTCAAGGGCAACCAGGCCTACAACAGGCCTTATCCTGTCTTAGGGGAAAAAAAAATTGTCAGGCATGGTGGGGCAGACCTCTAAATCCCAGAATTCAGAGGCAGAGGCAGGCGGATGGATCTCTGTGAGTTTGAGCCCAGCCTGGTCTATCTATATAGCAAGCTCCAGGTCAGCCAAGGCTACACAGTGAGAGGCTATCTCAACATAGTCACTTACTGACTTTCTTCTTTTGTGAGCATGTACACGTCTATGTGTAAGAGTATGTGTGCATGTGTACACGTACAGCACACAGGAGGACATCGGGAGTCCTCCTCTAGCACATTCTGCCTGTTCCTTTGAGGCAGGGTCTCTCCCTGAACCTAGAGCTCATGTATCCTCAGCTAGGCTATAAGCCAGAAAGCTCAGGAATCCTCTTGCCTCTACCTCCATCATGGTTACAGGTATGAATGGAACTCCCAGCTGGATGCTTGGGGTGCTATGATCTGTACTCTCAGCCTCATGACTGAGGAACAAGTACTCTAACAGCTCCTTATTACAGTTTTCTGAGACAAATTCCATACTGTGTAGTCCAAATTTTTCAAATTTGTAATCCTGCCTCAGCCTCCTGAGTGGCAGATTAGTAAGCATGGCTTAGGGTCCAGATTCCCAATGGTGACATTTTTATTTCTTTTTAATGCCACTCTTGTATTGAGGTGATGACTATATTAGTTCTGAGTTGAACATCTTCTTCTGAAAGAGGGGGTTGTATGGGAGGTGTCTCTGTTTGGAACTTACTATGTAGAAAAGGCTGGCTTTGAACTAATGGAGATCCACTTGCCTTTGTCTCTGAAGTGCTGGGACTAAAGGTGGGCACTATATAACTGGCTTCTCAAAGTATCTTTACCTTGTTTCCAGAAAAAAAACAAAAGCACTAATTATTCACTAATTATTCCCTCTAGACATTTCCTTTTTTGTTGTTGTTGTTTTTTGTTTTTTATTTTATTGAGATGGACTCACTATGTAGCCCTGGATGGCCTGAAACTCACTACATAGGTCAGACTGACATTGAACTCACAGATATCCACCTGCCTCTTCTCACTGGGTGCTGAGATTAAAGGTGTGAATCACCACCGTCAAGGAGAATCTCTTTAAAGGAACTTCCCTAGTTTTAAGAAAGTGAGAAAATAGAAACCTTCATTTACCTCTGTGTTGTGAATTTCTAAAGTTGTTTTCTTATAATGGCTCATGTTCTCCACTCCTAGATTAGTCACCGTGAGGAAGCCAAAACGGATCCGAGAGTCTTTTTCTAAAGGCCAGTACTGGCCACATTTTCTCCTGCCGCCTTCCTCAAAGCTGGAGACATACAGAGCAAGTTAAGCCCTCGCTCTTCAATTAGCAGTAAGCTGCTTCCCACCACAAACTGCCGAGCTCCCGGGCAGCCATGCCGTCTGCACTGCACCTGAAGTAGACCACTGAGGCATGGCAGAGAAAGAAGGGAGTCTCTTCATTCTAAACATGTTTAAACGGCTAACGTTCTTACATGTGGCCCTTTAGCAGACATCGTGCATTCACTGTATTATCTGCTCTCCTTGATAGTTGGCTGTATTTCTCGCTTATCTGGGATACGAACAGTAGCAAAAACACAGTAGCCACTGCTCAGTTTCTTGTCCACTCAGGGCCCTTGGCTCACACAAAAATGGGAAAGACAACCCGTGGATGTGACTGAGGAGAGCCATACATTTCATGTCACCACTTTTTGGCTGCCCTCTGAGTACTTTGTGGTACTTCTAGCTACAGGTGGCTGCTAACAACGCCCTAAGGGAGCTGAGCAAACAACTTTCTTCCCCATCTGAAACAGGTTATAATTAAATGATGAAACTAAGAAAATAAGAAATTCCTTAAATTTGGGAGAATAGCCAAATTTCAAAAACAACCCTTTATTCAGAACTCCTGGCTTATGTCTCAACCTTTTCTTTCTTTCTTTCTTTCTTTCTTTCTTTCTTTCTTTCTTTCTTTTTTCTGTTTCCTTATAGTAGAAAAGCAATCAGAAGAAGCAGGGGATGAAAACCAAGGGAACTGGTAATTCAGCAGCCAGGAATACATCTTTCCTGTTGAGACAAGAGGCAGCTTAAAGGTGAGCTGCTTGTGTTTCCCACCACTTCCTTCAGTGCATGAGGCCAGAACCCCAGGATCAGCTTTAACTACCTCTGGGTCCCTAGAATTTCAGATTCACTATCTATGAGGCTAGCCCTGTCTCCACCATGATCTCGTATGTTAACTATATATGTGGTATGGCTTTCCAGCTTAGGGTCAGGGAAATGGATTAAAAAAAAAAGACTGACTCACCGGGTGGTCATGACAATCACCAAAACTTTTTGCTCCCAAACCATGAGCCAGAAGTCACGATAGGTATTCTCCAAAGGACCTGGCATGAAAGGAGAAGACAAAAAAACAGGGCCTTCAGAAGCAGGTCTGATTTAGACTCGCCTTCCAAGTAGTATCTCCAAAGCACAGATCTGAGTTCCCTGCTTCCTCCCCCTCCCCCCCTTTTTTTTGCTGTTACTATTTTTCAAGCTAGGGTCTCATATAGACTCAGACTCACTATATAGTCCAGCATGACCCTGAATTCCTGTTCCTCAGGCCTCCACCTCCCAAGTACTGCAACTACAAGTATTCATATGAGCCTTACTTGCCTCTGCCTATTCAGGGAGGTCCTCAGACCAACCATATCATCTCGGTATGGGTGAATATTAGAATCACAGAATGATAGTGCTGGGGAAATGGCTCAGCAGTTAAAAATTCAAACTGCTCTTGCAGAAGACTTAAATTCAGAAAACCTCAATTCTTGGAGCCTGACACGCCAGCTCCAATGCCCTCTACTGGTATCCACAGAAACCAGCATTCACATACACATACCCACACATAAACATATATATACACAATTAGAGTATTGGTTAAGACCACTTGCAAAAGACCCAGATTAAATTCTAAGCACCCCCGGGAGCTCAGAGCTTTTGTAACTCTAGTTGCAGAGGATGTGATCCTGTCTCTGGTCTCTGTGGGCACTGCACACCTGTAGTGCATAGACATCTACACAGACAAAACAGCTACACACATAAAATAAAAATAAATTCTTAAAGATAAATACAATGAATCTTTACCAAAAATAAAAGGAAAAACGTCCACGTGACATGTCTAAGTGAGTCATATGTAGGAAGCATTTTTAAGGACCCAGAGCAGGAGCCACAGCTTCAGCAGCCACATCTATGGTAACAGTGTCAACTGTATACTTTCCTGTCTGTTTCTACCTCACCTAGCTCTCGGCCTCATAATACAGTAACTATTAAGCCAGTGTCTTCCTACATCCCATGGTCTCAAATCACTTGGGATAAAGACGTAGTCTTCTTCAAAATTCATTTTATCTTTCAGCTCACTTTTGTATTTACATTCCCTCCTTCCCCTTTCCTTTTTTGAGACAGGATTTTACTGGATAGCTCAGGCAGGCCTCAAACTTGTGATCCTCTGCCTTGGCTGCCAGGATGCAGAGATACTGGCAAGTGGCACCACACTTTCTCAATTTTCTTCTCTTTTGTAGGACTTCTAGTATTCTTTGATAAGTTATCACCATTGCAATTCTTCTGTTAGGAAGAATGGAGTGGCATGCCATGGCGTACATGTGGATGTAAGAGGACCCTAACGCCAACAACTCGTACTTTAGGTCTGCTTTCTCCTTCTACCTTACATGGGTCCAGGAGATTGGACTCAAGTCCACTGTACAGCAAGCACCTTTACTGTGTGTGGGAGTCATCTCAGTATTTTTAAATCATTTACTCTTTAAAAAGTTGAAGTCACTGGGTGTGGTGGTGCATGCTTTTAATCCTAGGACTTGGGAGGCAGAGGCAGGTGGATCTGTGTGAGGGCCGAGTGAGTTCCAGAACAGCCAGGCTACACAGAGAAACCTGCCTCAAAACACAAAACAAAACAAACGAACAAAGTTGAAGTCAACTTTAACACGTGCATTCCCATCCTCTTCCAAATTTCTCAAGGAAATTATGGTAATTTTTTTTTTTTTTTTTTTACTCTTGGAGTGTTTTTACTTTTTTTTTTTTAGGTTAGAAAATTTTTTTTTCTTTTTTTTTATTTTTTAATTTTTTTATTAATTACACTTTATTCATTTTGTATCCCCCCATAAGTCCCTCCCTCCTCCCCTCCCGATCCCACCCGTGTTTTTACTTTTATCTTTTAACCCCTGGCCTGTCCCCTGTTCTTTACACTAAGTTTCACTGCCAGGAGGACTTTTATCATTTTTTTTTAGTCTAAGTTATTAATAACATTCAATATATTTTTCTCAATTTCTTTCTTTTTACAGTTTAGTACTAAAACAAAAAGCATCACAATACAGACAAACTGTTTCTCTGACTCTAATCCTTTGTATTATCTCTGTCAACTGTAATACTATTCCATTTTAATCCATATTTTCAGATTTATTTTCTTTTTATTTATGAGTATGTGTGTTTGTCTAAAGGAGTGCATGCCAAATATGTATGGGTGCCTCCAGAGGTCAGAAGAGGTTGTGAGATTCCCTGGGCCTAGAGTTACAAGCAGTCCCCAGATGGTTACTGGGAACTGAACTCTGGTGCTCTGGAGGAGCAACACATGCTGAGCCATCTCTCCAGCCCTCTATCTACTTCTAAGCATTGACCCTTCTTCCAGGCGCTTTCTGACCAAGACACTCAAAGGACTTCCTCTGCCCTAAGCTCTGGATGGCACAGCTGGTCCTAAATACTTCAACCACTTAAATTATAGTATCTGACATCAGACATTTAAGAAGATCCCCATTTCAGTAAATAGGATGTGAAGGATAAATGCCTTTTGTGAAATTGTCCTTTATAACTAGAACCTGAACAAAGATGAGCACTCTGCAAGGAGCTGTCTTTGTTAACAACTCCTCAAGGTAATTCGTTATGCCTTCCACTGTTTTTCCCCCTCCATTTTCAGAGAAGCAGGGTAAAATCATGGGTTATTTTGGACCCGTTAATTTGGAAAGCCATCTGGTTCCATTATTTCTGTGAAAGTCTTGTAGTAAGCACTAACATGCTGTGTGTGAAAGATTGAAAAAGAGTGTGTGCATATGAACAGCCACTCAACTGCGCATGTGACTCAGTATCATTCTTCAGCTGCTGTCTACCTTGTTTTGGGTTTAGTGTATTCGTGTTTGGTTTTGAGATAGGGTCTCTCACTAGGACTTGGACACTGGCTGGTAGGCTATGCTGGACAGCCCCTGAGCTCCAGGGATCCTCCTGCCTCTGCCTCCCCAGCACTGGGAGTGAGTGACACTAGCACCCACGCAGTGGCTCCCCCCATCCAGGTCCAGAGGCTCTGACACTGTCTTCTGGCATCCATGGTCACTGCTTACATACACTTACATACATGCAGGCAAAACACTCATACGTAGAAAAAATAAAATAAATCTTTAAAAACAAAAATAGAGACAAGAGGTAGGAGTGCCAGCCTAGTCTACAAAGCTAGACTCTATCTCATCAAAATCAGATAGATAGATAGACAGACAAACAGATAGAAAGCTAGAATAAAGGATGTTTTTTTTCAGAACTGGAGAGATGACTCAGTGGTTAAGAGCACTAGTTGTTCTTTCAGAGGATGCAGGTTCAGTTCCTGACCCCACACAGTGGATCACAAACCACTCCAATCCCAGAGGACCTCATGCCCTCTTCTGACTTCCTTAGGCAGTGCATATATATGAGACACAGATATAAATGCAGGCAAAATAGCTACATATAAAATAAAAATACAAAAAAATTTTAAATGATCTTATTTCAGGACAGGGAAGAAGAAAAGCTTAGCATGCCTAGAGCTCTGGCTTCAATTCCCAGATTCAAAAGTGTGAGAGAAGATCCTAATTTGGAGGGCATATTTTTTTTCTTCTAATTTTTTCTTTTGTGCCTTTAAGGAAGGTAAATCCCTCTCTCTACCTACCTTGAATTTTTGTATCTGGTTTATCAGATATTCTGTCAGCTGTCCCAGTTCTAACAATAGTTTTGTGTGTGTGTGTGTGTGTGTGTGTGTGTGTGTTTTGGTTTTGGTCTTTTGAGACAGGGTCCCATTATGTAGCATAAGCTGATCTTGAACTTATAATCCTTTGCCTTTGCCTCCAGCAAGTATTATCCTTAGCCATTGCTAATGGTTTGTATATGAAAAAGAAAGTATATGAGAGTAGGTATGGGTCATTTGCTTGTCCTATGTAAGGCCCTGGGTTTGAGCACCAAAACTGGGGGGGAGGGGATCTAATAATAAAGTATGTGAGAGGTACAAGTAGTAGCATTTGGATGAGGATAGGGGTTAGAGATGCAGAAAAGTGTTTTTATTGCCTTCTTGATATTCATATTAGAGTAATGTATATCTATTGTAATTTATTTAGAAAATGAAGATAAAGACAGGTGGTGGTGGTGCATGCCTTTAATCCCAGCACTTGGGATCTCTGTGAGTTCGAGGCCAGCCTGGTTTATAGAGCAAGTTCCAGGACAGCCAGGGCTACACAGAAAAACCCTGTCTAGAAAAAAACTAAAGGAAAGAAAATGAAGATAAAAATCATTTATTAACAATTAGATCCAGAGATAATGTTATCATCTTCCAGCATCTCTAAGACCGTTTCTATGTATACTTATAGATACAGCAAATAAAATAGTTAAAAGAATAAGCAGACCCCACCCCTACCCCGTATGATAGTAGATCTCTCCTATGTAGCTTTCCAAGACAAAAACTACAACTCCTGAGGCTCAAAAACTACAACTCTTGAGTTGTTGCAGAGATGCCGCAACAGCTTTAAGTGCTGGCTGCTCTTCCATAGTACCTGGGTTTGATTCGCAGCAACCATATGACGATTCACAACCATCTATAACTACAGTTTCAGGAGACCAAACATCTCATCTACCTTCCACTGGCACCAAACATGCAAATATCACAGAGATATATAAGCAAAATACTCATACACATAAAATAAATTGTTTTAAAGAATAGGTCTTACAGTTGCATTTGTTGGGTGTGTGAATTTTGAGTATACTGTAATTAAATGCATATTATGTTCTTGGATATTTATAGTTAAATATCTTTGTCAGTTTCTGCTTTCACAAAGAAGAAAGTCTAATGTCATAAGATGTTAGTGCAAGCTAGGCATGTCTATAATCCCAGTATGTGGAAGGAGGAGGAAGCAACATCAGGAATTCATCCTCAAATATATAGGAAGTTCTGGGCCAGCCTAGGTTACATAAAACCCTTCCAAAGCACAAAATTCAAAATAAAAAATGTAAGTGAACCTGGGTACAGTGGTTCATGCCTATAATCAGTACACTTGGGACCTGGGGCAGGAAGATCATTGTGAGGTTACAGGCTAGCCCTAGCGAGCTAGACTTGAAGCATTATTTCAAAACAAACAAGAAAAACACCAAGAAGAAGGATTGCGAAGGAGGGGGCTACAGCTGGGACACAAAGCAAATAAACTGTAATTAATATTAAAAAATTAAAAAATTATTAAAAAAAGGATTGCTTAGTTGGTAATGTGCTGAGTTTGATCCCCAACCCAACAACTTTCTATCCCCATTCCTCTCTACACTCATATGTGTAACACACTTAGCAAGTTCCAAACCAACAAGGTTCAGACAAGTAAACCCTGTCTGAAAAGACAAAGAAAGGGGCTGGGGTAAAAGTTCTTGCCACACAGCATGAAGACCTCAAATCAAATCCTAGAAATTCAGCTAAAAAGCCAGGCATGGTTGTACATGCTTTTAACCCCAGGAAGGCTCTCTAGAGCTTTCTGACCACCAACCTAGCTCAAGTTCAATGACAGACCCTATCTCAAAGGACTAAGGTAGAGAATGACAAAGCAGGACACTTGATGGTCTCCTCTAGATATAGTCACACACAAAAATAAACACACTCACACATGTGTATGTATGTGAGCACGTATCACACCATACACATACAAGTGGACTTCTATAGATAGAAAGTTAGTGGTTTACTTTGACACAGGCTTGTGAGAATTTTCTGAGCAGGACATGGTTTCAAATTCTGATGTTCAAGAATCACAGCTACATGATCAATTGAGCTTCGGTTTGCTATATAAACTAAACACATACACACACTAAAATAAAAAATTTTAAAACCTTCTTTACAGATTTACTTTAGTAATCAGAGATTATGCACCTGAAATAAAATACATATTCTTAACAAATAACTTATTAAAAATATTACTAGTATGCATGTATATGCATGTAAGAATTAGACCACTAGAGTCATGTATGGTAGCTCATGCATATAATCTCAGCAATTGGAAGGTAGAGGCAGAATGATCAGCAGTTCACAGTCACCTGCTATGACATGGTCTGGGAGCTTTGTATATGTTAACTGATTGCTCCCTGAGATACTTAATTGTTTGTGAGCAAACTGTCATGTACATCAAGCATTGCTATATAACCTTGCCTCCCTGTTTGACCAATAAAAGGCCTACATCTGGGCGGGGCAGAGAGAAGGTTTGAGGGCTTTGGGAGCAAAAGGATCATGGCAAAGAAACAGGTGCCAATGGAAGTAAGAAGGGAACCATGATGGGTTAGCATGGAATGGAGAAGGCAGATTGGCATGAATGGAGGAAAGCAGCCCAGATAAGAGAATAAGCAAGTATTCTGGGATTGTGGATGGGAAATAGCCCAGATAGGAATGACTGAAGCAGATGGCACGGGACGGAAGCTGGGAGATAAAAGTAGTTTAGAGGGTTAATATCTGCTTTGCCCCAGGTGAAATAAGGCTATTCTTTCTTTTTGGAAAGTAAGACGCTTTATTAGTTACTTTTGCAGGAAATAGATCAGTAAGTATAACACTTTAGGAACACAATTGTGCTATTATACAAGTCTTTTAGGGTTTTTTTATTAAATTATTTTTATATATTAATTACAGTTTATTCATTTTGTATCCTAGCTGTAGCCCCCTCGCTCCTTCCCTCCCAATCCCAACCTCCCTCCCTCATCTCCTCCCATGCCCCTCTCCAAGTCCACTGATAGGGGAGGTCCTCCTCTTCTATCTGACCCTAGCTTATCAGGTCTCATCAGGACTGATTGCATTGTCCTCCTCTGTGGCCTGGCAAGGCTGCTCCCACATCAGGGGGAGGTGATCAAAGAGCCAGCCCCTGAGTTCATGTCAGAGACAACCCCTGTTCCCCTTACTAAGACACCCACTTGGATACTGAGCTACCATGGACTACACCTGAGCAGGGGTTCTAGGTAACATCCATGCATGGTCCTTGGTTGGAGTATCGGTCTCAGAAAAGACCTCTGTGCCCAGATGTTTTGATTCTGTTGCTCTCCTTGTGGAGCTCCTGTCCCCTCCAGGTCTTTCATCTCTTCCTTCTTTCATAAGGTTTGGCTATGAGTCTCAGCATCTGCCTTGATAACCTGTTGGGTAGAGTCTTTCAGAGGTCCTCTGTAGTAGGCTCCTGTCCTGTTTCCTGTTTTCTCCTTCTTCCAATGTCCATCCCCGTTTTCTTTCTGAGTAAGGATTGATCCTCTTACCCAGGGTCCTCTTTATGCTTATCTTCTTTAGGTGTACAGATTTTAATATATATCCTATATTGTATATCTAATATCCACTTATACGTGAGTATATACCGTGTGTGTCTTTCTGCTTCTGGGATACCTCACTCAGGATGATCTTTTCTAGATCCCACCATTTGCCTCCAAATTTCATGATTTCCTTGTTTTCAATTGCTGAGTAGTATTCCATTGTAAATGTACCACAATTTTCTGTATCCATTCCTCAGTTGAAGGATATCTGGGTTGTTTCCAGGTTCTGGCTATTACGAATAAAAGTGCTATGTCTTTTAAGTTTTTAAGTGTTCTTCAATGATGCTGATCAGGAAAATCTCTCATTGGTAGAATTACTTCTCCATTCTCTAGAATTGTCTCACCTGAGAATATTCTGGACTTCGTTTCAACAATGTTTTGTAGTCATATGATACTTGACATAATAGTGACTAAACCACAGAGGTGTAAGTACATGGGAAACAGTGAGGAGACTGGACCAGTATGCCTTCAAGATCATGTTCTTCCTTGGGGTCCTGCAAGAAATTATTCCAGAATCGCTCCAGGGGCCACACCCTGTGCAGGGGCAGCATGGTTGCCGGGGCTCAGCTCTTGGTCCTTCAGTCACCGCCTCCTCAGCTCCTGCAGTTGCTGCAGCTTCTAATGGCATGTACCCCGACATGTTGCCACCGGCAAGCTCCTCCAAGAGTCAAGAGTCACAGGGCGTGCCTGCCTGAACCTGGGTCAGGTCACGCACCTGCACTCCCGCTCTACAGAGCGACCTTGAAGCGCCTGGGGACAACGCTGAACTAAGACTACTCTAAAATCTATCGGGTGTTTGTGTCTTTCACTGATTATAATAGCAGGTTAGATGATGCCGCCATAATAATGACAGGGCTAATAATAAACATTATCAGCCCATACTTTTAAATTATATATAACGGTCATCCTTTGCGCCGCAGCTAGTATGAGCCTAAGATGGATGAGAGCCCCCATGCGTGTTTACCTATATATGCACATGCAAATACAGTTATTTATTCATTCATCATTGGGTACCATTACAGTAGCACCCAATTGGATACTAACTTTAACTAACAGAACGTCTACAACTGTCTACAAACTAAGTAATTTGCCCTGAAGGCCACTTTCTCCTTATGCAGGATACATCATAAGCCCCAAATTACCTTTACTTCTTTCGTTAATAATCTAGAACAGTTCTCTTCCTTTTTTCTTTTTTTCATGACATTAATTTTAAAGAGTTTGAGCCATTTCCTTTTTTTCTTTTCAAGATAAGGTTACATCCAATTAACTATGCAGAACAGGCAGGCTTTGAACCTGGGATCCTCTAAGTCATGGAATTACAAGCATATATGTATCAACATGCCTAGCCTGAGCTAGTTTTCTTGTACTTGTGCTAAACAACCTGGATTTGACTGATTTGTTACTTATAACTAGATTCAGTTTTCTTTGATTATTATTACTATTTTCTTGAGATGTTAGTAATCAAACTCAAACCTTCTAGGTATGCACCCCCAGCCTGCATCTGATTTTTATTGTGCATGTGCATGACATGTATGTGAGTTCAAATACTGAGTTCTGATGCCCTACACTCAAGGATTACTATACTAAAACACAGTCCAAAAACTTGCTGGCAAGCCCTAACACTTTAGGTTTAAACCTTTAGTTTTTTCTTTGTAGTGACTTTCCATGCATGTCTGGAACTGAAACTCCAAACTTACCTGTCCTCTTCAACTATAAAGCTTTAAAAAAGACCAGGATTTTAGTGGCCATCACATATTTCCTTCAAGAGTCAGGCCATCTGAGTTGGGTGTAATAGCACCTTTAATCCCAGAATGGGCGAGGCAGACACAGGTGGATCTCTGAGTTCAAGGCCAACCTCATCTACAGAGCAAACTTCAGGACAGCCGGGGCTATATAGTAAAACACACACACACACACACAAAAATCATCTGGAGGCTAAAAAGATGACTCAACAGCTAAGAACATTTGCTGCCCAACCCTGAGGACTACAATTTGGATCTTAGTACCTACATAAAAGCTGGAGATAGGGGTTAGAGAGAGAGCTCAGTGGTGAAGCTCACTTACTGTCTTTCCCAAGGACCCAGGTCTGATTCCCAGAACCCATATGGCAGCTTACAATCACCTGTAACTCCAGATTCAGGAGATCTGACACCCTATTCTGGTCTCTGCATACAGCAGGCATGTACATAGTACACAAACTTACATGCAGACCAAACATTCGCATACATATAATTAATTAAATTTAAAAAATTGAATTGAGGAGCTGGAGAGATGGCTCAGTGGTTAGGAGCACTGGCTCCTTTTCCAGAGGCACTGAGTTCAATTCCCAGCAACAACATGGTGGCTCACAAACATCTGTTAACACGATCTGAAGCCCTCTTCTGGCATCAGGCATATATGCAGATAAGAGTACCCATAAATAAATAAACCTTTTAAAAGAGTCACCTAAAATAAGGAACCACATGCAGGTGGCACAAAATCAACATGTAAGGCTAAAACAGCTTACCTTGTGTACCAATATAAGCATTCTTCTGCTTGTAGCCATCCATGAAACTGGCATTGATGTAATCTGTCTAATAATAAAGGGAGACATTATTCAAGTGGATGCATGCACCATTTGGCTCACAAAATGATCTAACGCTGGCCTAAGTTCAGTCAAGGTGCGGATAGTCTCTTCCTGTAAAGCAGGAAATAAAAAAGTAACAGGGCCAAGTTAGGATGGTAGGGTGCACGGAAACCCTGCGTTTCTTTTATTGGCAATGAAAGAGAGTAAGGGAGGCAGAGGTGTGCTGAGAGGAAGAGTGTCTCTGTAGAGTGTCTCTGCGGGCACTTGTTCCACTACAGCAACTGCACTAGGATGTAAATGGATGGGTGGGTGGGTGGATAGACGGAAGGATGGATGGACATATAGATGGATATAATGGATATAATAATGACACTTTCATCATATCATATGCAAAAATTAAGTCCCACATACAGTCATATGTCTGTAATTCCAGGACTCCAGAGGCAGAGGCTAGAGGATAACTTCAAGTTCAAAGCCAGCCGAGTCTACAATGGTAAGTTCAAAGTGAGAGCCTCTCTTTAAAAATGAAAACTTATATGGGCTGGAGAGATGGCTCATTGGTTAAGAGCACTGTCTGCTCTTCCAAAGGCCATGAGTTCAATTCCCAGCAACCACATGGTGGCTCACAACCATCTATAATGTGAACTGATTCCTTCTTCTGGCAGATGTAAATGCAGATAAAATAAAGAAATCTTAAAAAAAAAAAAAAGCCTGTGATACCAACACCTGTCTTCATGAAACATTTAAAATAAATAAATAAATAAAATGAAAACTTATAAACAAAAACAAACATCTCAAAATAGAACAAAAACCCAATGAATGACGTTAAAATAATTAAGCTCTCAGAAGAAAGCAGGCTGAGAAAACCATAGTGGAAGAAGCCAGTTAGCAGCACTCCTCAACGGCTCTGCTTCAGTTCCTGCCTTGGCTCCTTTGATGATGGACTGTCACATAAAAGTAAAAGCCAAATAAACTCTTTACTCTTCAAATTGCATTTAAGTCAATCTCTTAAAAAAATATTTTTTTTATTTTACATATTTTACTTAGATGAGTAATCTATCTGCATGTACACCTGCATGACAGAAGAGAGCATCAGATCCCAGGATAGGTGGTTGTGAGCACCATGTGGTGGCTGGGAATTGAACTCAGGATCTCTAGAAGAATACACAGTGCTCCTAAACTCTAAGCCATCTTTCAAACCCCTTAAACTAGTGTTTATCATAGCAACAGAAGAGAAGAACATACTAATATATACCTGAAACTAAAAAAAGAGACATAATTGGCAAAACCTAAGCCTAGGCTGAGGGTATGACTAGTGATGAGAGTGCTTGCCTAGTATGCATGAAGCCCTGGGTCCAATCCTCAGCATCAAAAACAAACAAACAAAAGAGGGGATACGATGGTGTATACATGTAATCCTAGCACGTGGGCAGTAGAGGCAGGAGGATCAGAGTTCAAGGTGATCTGGACTACAGAGAAAGTATGAGGTAGTCTGGCCTACATGAGACCCTGTCAATAAACAATTAAGTCAATAATCAAAGCTCGTGTTGTGGTAAATGCTTCCAAACCAAAAAGTCTGGAAAGTAAGATAGGAAGCTAGCCTGGCTATATGAAAACATCCTACTTCAAAAGGGAAAAGTCAAGGGCAGGCACAAAAATTCCCATTTACTGTGAAGACAGCCTCTGGCATTATTTGGAACAAGTCAGGCAACGATCTTCAGGCTAACTACAGAATGATTACACTGTTACACTGGGATTTACACATTCACAAATATTTGTGAATACAGTCATTCACAAATATATTCCCAATATCTGCATATACACTAGGCACTAACCTTCAGATTTATTATAGGATGAAGATAATAATTTTTGTACACTGGGATTCACTCACAAATATTTCTTAAAACCTACCAGGCACTGATCTACACACTGGTGACAGAGCACTCAACAAAACAGATTAAAAAAACAAAAACAAAATGGTTATTTTTTGACTCAAGAGACCCAACTCAATCATCAACGCTCCATTCCTGAAGATAATGTAGTGGGACAATTTTGGCAGCACTATGAGTGAGCAGCTTAGCTATCTGCCATGAAAGAATAAGAAGAAAACTCTGCAAGCATCCTGGGCAGGACTATGAATGCCTAAAAGAGAAGGGTCAAGAGAGTGTGAAACCATGATCCACAATTTTTCTCAAAATTATCCTCAAGCAAAATAAGAGATAGTATATCAAGCATTTACAATGCAAGTCATGTTACACAGAGCTCTTAGTTCCCTTTACTTTGAAGGAGGAACTAGAATGAATACTCATTTGTGGGGAGGGAGGAGTCGTTTGCTTGATTATACCCCATTTATTATTAGTGTGTGCAGATGTGTTTGTGCACACACACATCTGCACACACTTTGTGCCACGCCACATACACGAAGATTAGAAGACAACTCAAGGGAAGTCATTTTTCTCCCTCGACCAGTTGTTCTGGGCATTGAACTGAGGTGGTCAGGCGTGGCAGCAAATGCCTTGACCTACTGAGCCATCTAAGCAGCCCAGGGTTTGGTTGATTTTATGCTACAGTTTATTGTTCTTGAGAGGCTCTTGCTGTGTAGCCCAGGTTGGCTGCAAACTCTTTCTTTAATCCAGGCTAGTACAGAACTTGCCCACTCTCCTAACTTAGCCTCCCAAGTGCACACCGATGCTGTATGTTTACAATTGCAGAAGTTAACAGAAAAAAATGGTGGTCAGATTAAAAAAAAAAAAAATAGGGTTAGCAAGATAGCTCAGCAGATAAAGACCCTTGACCTCAAAATTGATCACCTGAATTTGATCCCAAGAACCCACCTACTAGGAAAGAAACAATTCCTGAAAGTTGTCCTCTGACCCTCATGTGTGCGCACACATACAAACACACACACATAACTAAATAAATGGACAAAAAAATTAGCCGCACATAGTGGCACATGCCTTAATTGCCATCACTCTGGAGAGACAGAGGCAGACAGACCTCTGTACATTCAAGACCAGTCTGGTTTACACAGCAAGTTTCAAGACAGCTAAAACTACATAGTAAGATCCATCTCAAAGAAACAAAAACAAAAGCTGTAATTGGGCTGTCACGACAGCGCATCGGGTAACAGCACTTGCCACAAAATCTTAGGAGGAATTCAGCCCCAGGGTCCAAATGGTGAGGAAAAAAGTTGTCCTCTGACCTCCTCATAGGCACTGTGGCACAAGTTAACCATGTGCATATACACAAACTATAAATAACAGCCAGACGTGATGGTATACGCCATCTTGTTGTTGTTGAGACAGGGTCTCTCTACAGAGCCTTGGCTGTCCTGGAACTCACTATACAGATCAAGCTGGTCTGTTGTTGAGACAAGGTCTCTTTACAGAGCCTTGGCTGTCCTGGAACTCACTATACAGATCAAGCTGGTCTGAAACTCAGAGATCTGCCTGCCTCTGCCTCCCAGCTGCCATTAAAGGTGTGTGTCACCATATCAGCTGATGGCATATACTTTTAATGCCAGCACACAGGAGGCAAAGACAGGCTCTTTGAGCTGAAGGTCAACCTGGTCTATATCACAAGTTCCAGGCCAGGCAAGACTATACAGTGAGAACCTATGTTAACATAAATAAAAGGGGTGGGGGGAGGGAAGAACTCATAAAATACCAGACTGTCAGCATTCACAAAAAAATAAATAAAATAAATTTTAAAAACTTGACTTATTCTCTCAGTATGGTAACATGGGCATGTAAAGACTATCTCCAGCCATAGACTACTACATAACTCAAATTTCACGTCTCTGGTTTTGGAGTCCATTTCAAGCTCCTGCAACACAATACTAAGCCTCACCTTGAACGAGAATTATTTTCCACAGTGCTGAGAAAAATAAAAAGAAAAGAAAAAAGGAAAAAAAAAAGGCATTTATCTATCTACCTGCGTGTGGCCACTTCGTTTTGTCAGTTTCACTCTTGTTTGGTCCAGGCAGGGTACATCTCCATATCTGTTTTTCTCTAGGTTTCCTGGAGACCTGAAGAAAATAAGATGCAAGTTAAAATAAGGTGAAGTATGAGGATCAGGACTCTGAGGTCACTCTTAGCTGCATGCAGAACTTCAGGACAACCAGGACTACACAACAAATGAAAAAGGAGGGTTTAACATCAGTAGAAGAGTGCTTGTTGGCTGGACAAGTTGGCGCATACCTGTGATCTCAGCACCCAGGGAGGCAGAGGCAGGCAAATCTCTGTGAGTTCCAGGCCAGGCTGATCACAAAGGAAGTCCAGGAAAGCCAAGGCTACACAGAGAAAGCCTGTCTCAAAAAACAAACAAGTAAACAAACAAACAAACAAACAAAAAAGCAAGAAAAAGAGGAAGAGTATGTGCATATCCTCAACGCTCATTACTTTTGCTTTGTAGTATTTGGCTCTGAAAAAAATTATTTAGATATATCATTGATTAAAAACTAAAAGCTTAACAAGACCATCCACATGTAATACTGTCCTATATTGCTGAAGGGCTAGGAATGTAGTTATCTTGGAATAGCACTTGCTTAGCATGCACAAAACACTGAATAAGCTGGGTGTGGTAGTAGATGCCTTAAGGCAGCACTTAGGTGGGAGAGCCAGGAGGATCAGAAATTCGATGTCAAACTTAATTACATCCAGAGTTTTAATACTCAAAGGAGTATTCTATACTTTATGTAAAGACATATGTATACATAATGGTATAAACAAAAATTGGCTGGAAACATAGGAGCTATTTGAGAGGCTGCTTGTTAAGAAGAGAGAACTGAGTGTGAGGGTTGGGAACAATTTCAGTTTCATAATGAATTCTTTCATATAATAAAAAGACAAACATTACAAAAAAGTAACAAGTATCAGTTCTGATCACAGCAAATGGAGGTTTTTCATACTGTGTACTTTTCCACATATATTTTTTAACTGCATCTTTTTATTTAAATTTTCATTTATTTACTTGGTGTTAGGGGGTACATGCAGAGATCAGAGAAAAAGAAAATGCATAAGTTAGTTCTCTCCTTTTACTAAATGGGTTCTAAGGATCAAAATCAGGTCCCTGAGTTTGACTAGTGCATTTATTCACAGAACCATCTTACCGGCCCCTTTATTAGTGTTTGTTTTTTTAGTTTTGTTTTGAGACAGGCTCTCATACAATATAGCCTAGGTTGGCCTCTAACTCTTGGCAATTCTCCTGCAGCCTCCCAAGTATTGGGATTATATTTTGAACCATTGGCTCTTTTCTACATCTTAAAAACTCTCCTTTGGGACTGGAAAGACAGCTTTGTAGTTAAGAATACTTAGAACTGCCTGTTATTCCAGTTCTAAGAGGATCTTCTACCCCTCTGACATCTGCAAGTACCTGTACACATACAGACACAGAGACACAGATATATTCACACACACACACACAAAAAAAAATCTAAAAATAAAACTAAGCAAAACTTCCCCTCATCCCATGCAAACACGTACAGTTGATTTTTTTTAAACAAAGTTACAAATATAATTCAAAGTGACAATTCCCCTATTCGTCAAATTAATCTAGAAGTAACTGTATCCAGTGGCCAAATAAATCAAACAAATATTTATCTAAACTTTGCAATTTCTACAAAACATAATTCAAACTGGACCATAGACTAAAACTGAAATCACAAAACTCTGAGGGGGAAAGTATCCAAAGAAGAACTGCCCGATTATAAGGTATGATCTTAGTTTTGGGCCTGATGGTTCCGTGGACAAGCCTGACAACCTGGGTACAATACCAGGAACTCAGGTCAAGGTGGAAGGAGAGAACGCCACGAAGGTGCGCTCTGGCCCACATCACATACACACGTCATCAAACACGGGGCAAGGGGAGGGGGTGGTTGTTTGTTTGTTCTCTTTTCCTTTATTTTCTTCTGTGTAGCTCTGGCTGTTCTGAAACTTCCTTTGTAGACCAGGCTAGCCTCGAACTCATAGAGATCTGCCTACCTTTGCTTCCTGTATACTGGAATTAAAGGTATGTGCTACCACGACCTAGTTATATTGTTTAAGTTAAAAAAAAAAAAAGTAAAGATTTACACATGGAGAATGATTTATAAAAATATTTATAAATGGAACTTTTTAAATACTGTTTCACAAGTTAAAAAGATGGAAAGGTAAATTATAACAATAAAATATTTGAAAACCACAAACCCAACTTAAAAAATAATATTTGGAATATACAAAAAAATTCTTAAATCCTACTATTTTCCATTCTCTTTCTCTTCATCTTTACACAGAATCTCATCTAGCCCAAGCTAGCCTCCAACATGCTACGTAGCCAAGAATGGTATTGAGGGTCTGGTTCCCTGCCTCCACCCCCAAGGACTAGGCTTACAGGCATGCACCATACTCCACAGAACTCTAGAATCTTAGTAGCTTAAGGAAAACACAAAGAATACAATTCACAAAGTAGAAATGTACAGAGAGTGCATCAGCACATGACAAGATATTCAATATCATTCTCCACTGGCAAAATGCTAAAGAAAACTATAGTGAGTCTCATAAAACAACCGTCAATACAACAGAAAAGAGTGATACCATTCAGCACAGGTGAGGATACAAAGAAATGGGATTTCATCCACTGTTGTTGGTAGGAATTTACAATGACCCAGCCACTCTAGGAAACAGCTGGGCAATTTCTTATAAAAACTAAACAAATAATTACAATAGAACATAGCAATTGCTTTCCTGGACATTTGTGCCAGAGAAAGGAAAATGTATGTTCACACAAAACCTAAACACTTACTGGGTTTGAACAATTAAGAGCATTTATTGCTCTCACAGAGAACCTAAACTTCCATGCACACACCAACCTGGGGCTTACAACCATCCTTAACTCCAATACTAGGAGACCAGATAGATACTCTTCTACCTCTTCAAAAATCAGGCATGCTCCTGATGCACATACATATATGTAGGCAATCATACACATAAAAATAAAGTAAATTTTAAAAAATTTCAAGAAAGAAAAACCAAAAGTATACATAACAACTTGTTAGCCAGACAATCTAGAGGTTCTTCAACAGGTAAATGGTTAAATAATCTGCTACATCCATACCATAATACTAATCAGAAAAAAAAAAAAGGGAACCGACTGTCATGATATGATATGATCTTATTTATTTAACAACCCTGTAGAAAGGACAGAACTACAGAAATGGACAGCAGATTCATGGTGCAGGGTTAGAAACAGGGAGGTGGATACAGGGTATAGCTATGCATGCCTTTAATCCCAGGATTCAAGAGGCAGAGACAGACAGATCTCTCTGAGTTTGAGGCCAGACTGGTCTACACAGCGAGAGTGTTTCAAAATATCAAAAAGAAAGAAAGAGAGGGGGCTGGAGAGATGGCTCAGTGGTTAAAGGCACTGTTCTGCTCTTCCAAAGGTCATGAGTTCAATTCCCAGCAACCACATGGTGGCTCACAACCATCTATAATGTGAACTGATTCCCTCTTCTGGCATAGAACACTCATATACATAAAAAACAAATAATTCTTTAAAAAAAAAAAAAAGAAAGAAAGATTGATAGATACACATAGACAGCCAGACAGAGAAATGGGGAACAATGAAAAGGCAGGTATACTAATTAAAGGACAGTAAGGGAGGTAGAGAGATGGCTCAGTAGTTAACAGCACTCACAGCCTGCTCGTCCAGAGGACCCAGGCTGACCCAGGCTGGATCCCTGGCACCCCCTTGACCGCTATCAACTCCACTCCTCGGGAATCCATTGCCCTCTTCTAGCCTCCAAGGGCACTACAAGGGTACACACGTGGTACACAGATATACACACTGGCAAACATATCCACATGCATATAATAAAAATTAATACAATCTCAAAAAACTTAAAGAACAATAAGAGGGAGATTTGTGGTGATACACACACACACACACACACACACACACACACACACACACACACACACACCTCCTAATCCTTCCCAAACAATACCACAACTGGGCACCAAGTAGTTAAACACAAGCTTTAGAGGTTTTCCTGAGTTATGCAACTATGCTGTCTTTAACAAAAAACAAAACAAAACAAAAAAAAAAAAAACCTATGGGAATTTTGAGCAATTGTGAATTCTGATATTTACTTCACAATTCAGAATTCTAGGAGAGATAGCAGTGTTGTGGATATGAACAAGTTTTTGTTTTGGTCCCAGGTGTGGGATGTGGGACTGATTCAGATGGTCCACAACAGCAGACTATTTGCCTCATGAGGGCTCTGAGGATCTCTTTGCCAGCTGTAGATAGTTTAAAGCTGAGGACTCTGAGGAGAGAATAAATGCCAGAGCCCAGGGAGTGTGGAAAAACTCTGAGAAAGAATGAAGTTGCTCCTGCTTCCCCCTGTGGTCCTGGTTGCTGTTGTGAGACAAGAAGTTGGAGATTTCCTGAAATGAGAATTGGACTGGCTCCAAAGGACCTGATGACCCTAATCAGCAGGATGCATTTAAGAGAACTGTGACCCCTCTCCCACTAACCCTTTCTCTCTCCTACCTGGTGTTGGGGTGTTGGGTGGGATTGATGTAGAGTGTGGAGAAAGACATATAAGAAGCGTAACTAAAAGTTTCTAAAAAGTATACCAACTCTACAGTTTGCTCCATGAGGTAGTTTTACTAGAACCAGGTTGAAGAGAAGGCCAGGAGCTAAGAAGGTTCATGGGTACTAGATCATCAATCAAAGGCTCCACAGTTAATAAAAAGGCAAGACTGTGAAGTCCTCTTAGCAGACTAGACTCTAAAACAGCAGCTGATTTGAATGGGACAAGCAGACAACAAAACCTGCCTCTTTCAAGGCAGTTACTTGAGACAATAGTAACCACAGGAGCACCTACATCAGAATTTTAAATTCCCCTGAAAGTATATTATTTCCTGCTCCCAAGTTATTTCCTTGATTCCTACTGAGGAAACTGAAGACGGTAGTGCACACCTGTACTTCCGGCATACAGGAAGTAGGGGCAGGAATATCAGAAGTTCTAAGGCATCCTCAGCTACATAGCAAGTTTTAGGGAACGCTGGACTACATGAGTAAGAAGAGAAATATGGGATGGTGGCAGTGGCTATGGGCGAAGTCATGCATAGTGGGTTTTTAGAGGGGTTCAGTACTTAGGGGACTGAGACAGAAGGATCATCATTTTAGGCGAACCTAAGATGCAAAGTATGTTCAAGGACAGCTGGGGAAAAAAACTGTTCTGCTTTGGAAGGAGATTCAGTGTATACAGAGATCTTCAGCACATAGAAAGGGAAAGAAAATAGTATTTCTCCCTCCTTTTCTTTCTTTCTTTTTTGTTTGTTTTGTTTTGTTTTGTTTTCAAGTCAGGGTTTCTCTGTAACAGTCCTGGCTATCATAGAACCTGCTTTGTGTATCAGGCTGGCCTCAAACTCTTCGGAGTCCCAAGTACTGGGATTAAAGGCATGCGCCACCATTGACCACCTCTCCCACTCTTACTATGTGCCCTGTTTTCCCGTTCTTTCCTTGTTTTAACAGTTCAAAGGATTAAACCCAGGGCCTCACCAATTCCAGTCAGAGCTCAACCATGAAACTACAGCTCTAAGCTTTTTTTTTTCATTCTTTTACATGTATTTTTTTAAATCTATTAATGATATTACTGTAGGATGGGAGGAGAAAGAGAAGATGCATACATACATGCCACAGGGCAGTGTGTGTGTGTGTAAATTAGAGGACAACTTACATGAGTCAGCTCTCTCCCTCTACTATGTGGGTCCCAAAAACCAAACTCAGGTCATGAGGCAGGCACCTTTACCTGATAAGCCATCCCACTAATCTTTTACATTCTTGCTCTACTCATTGGCTTCATTCTCAATGGCCTCTCCTCAGTTTACTAACTCATATTTTCCCTCTTTCTTTGGCATTTTCTTCACAGACCATTACTAAATTGAACAAGAATTCTAGGGGATAAAGGTGCTCAGAGAATCATGGATTCATAAAACATTTAAAGGAAAGCAAACATCCAACAGCCACATATTGCATATTACAACCACATAATACAGAAAAAACGAAGGTACAGAGTGAAGAAAAATAATTATCATTCACAGAAGGGACTTCTGGCTGACTTGAGATTTAAACCAAAAGCCAACTGACAGCATGCTTAATTTTCACCAGAGGTCACTAGCAGGGGAAAAAACAGCCAAGTAAAACATTGTAAGAGGGCTAGAGACATTTCTAAGAGCACTAGTTACTTTTCCAGAGAACCCAGGGTCAAACAGCACCCACACGGCAGCTCACATTTTTTGTTACTTTAGTCCCAAGGGATCTGATGGCCTCTATTTGCCACTGTAAGCACTGCATACATGTGGTACAAACATACATATAAGCAAAACACCCACATGCATATAATATACAATAAAAGATAAAAACAATAAAAATGGTTAAGAGTAGCTAAGTGTGGTGGTGCACACCTGTAATCCAAGCACTAGGGAAAGGCAGAGGCAAAGGGATCTGTGAAACCACCCTGTTTTGTTGAGTTACAGGCTAGCCAAAGCTACATAGTAGGTAGGATCTTGTCTCAAACAAAACTAATTATTTAAAATAAGCAAATACAGATGATAGACAGCAGATAGATAGATAGATAGATAGATAGATAGATAGATAGATAGATAGAAAGAAAGAAAGAAAGAAAGAAAGAAAGAAGATAAGGCAGAAGAGCCAACATCAAATTTTTACCTCTACAGATGTGCAGATACAAATACACACAAACACATTCCAAAACAAAAAGAAGAGAAATGCCCAATGCTGAGACCATAGCCATCAAGTCAATGTGAGTCAGTGATAAAGCAGCCAGATGATTTGATGGTGGATTCAGGTAGAAGCAAAGTGCTCAGAGGTTAAATTCCTGAGAAGCAACTCCTGACAAGGTATAGTATTTTATTACATTTTGGGCACTTAAAATAGTACTTGCATTACAAGAAAATATTCAAGCTTACCATAGTGGTACGTTCCTATAATAATACCAGCACTTCAGAGGCACAGATAGGTGGACCCCTGGTTTGGTGCTACATATTCAAATGCTGATTTCAGTGCCTTGAGATCTGGTTACTGCCCCGTCACAGATATTGTTACAATGTTGAACTATCTCCTGTAACCATGTGATGAGAAGGAATATTCCCCAACTGTCCCTGACTGGTTGATTAAAAGGCCTCCACCTAGGCAGGGCAGAAGGAGATAGGTGTGGCTAAGAGTCCCAAGCTTTGGGGACAGGAGACTCAAAGGAAGAAGCCAGGAAGAGGAAGAAGAGAGGAAGGAGGAGGTCACCACGGGTTAGGTGAATAGAGAACCACTGAGTAGGGAGGAAGGACTCTGAGAATGGTATAGAAAGGAGCAATCCAGAAGTAGAATACAAGGAAGTATTTTGGGATTATGGATGGAAGGTAGCCCAGATAGGAATGGTTAAAGCAGATGGAATGAGATTCAGGCTAGGAGATCTAAGATAGCACAGATGGAATTATCTGCCTAGCCCAAGGTATCATAAGGCAATTATAAAATCTAATAGGTGTCTGTGTCTTCTGATTGTGTTAACAAGTTAAATTAATACTGCTGTAATAATAATAGGGCTAATAGTAAACATTACTTAGCCAGACACAATATATTTCCAACAACAGAGTTCAAGATGAGTCTGGTTTACAAAGTGAGTTTCAAGCCAGCTAGGGCTATACTGTTTCAAATAACAACAACAAAGAAAAAGAAAAAAGAAGAAAATAAATATATATCTGTAACTACAAGGTTCCCCTTCTGGTACCAAAGACCCACCAGAAATTCCAAAGCAAAAGAAATTAGCAACAAGTCAAGCCCAAACCCAAAGAAAAGGTAACTCTAGAGGAAACCATTAATGTGACTATGAAGTTTTAGTGTGTTACTATGTGCGTATTGTGCACACCTAAGTGTAGAAATGCACATGCCTATGTATGTGCATGCATAAGGCGAAGCAGGACATCTGTGGCTTCATCTGCTGCTCTTCACCTTATTGCCTTGAGCAGTGAGCTCTCAGAACCTGCCTGTCTGCCCCCATGATGGTGGAGTGATATACAAGTGCAGCCAGGCCTGGCTTTTACAGCTGCTGGAGATCTGAACTGAGATCCTCATGCTGCAGAGCAAGTGCTCTTACCCACTTCACAATCTTCCCATGAAGCTTATTTATTTACTTTTTTGTTTTAAATGTTGCCCTGAGTGGCCTGAAGTTCATTATGTAGACCAGGCTGAATCCTAACTCCTGGAGATTGACTTTCATCTGTCTTCCAAGTACTGAAAATAAAGGCATGCACTACCGTGCTCAGCCTCCTGGGAAGCTTGGCCAGGGAAACCCTGTCTAAAGGACCTGAGGCATCGAAGCAGCTCAGCTGCAGTCATCACTTGCCAAAAAACAAACAAAACACACACGTGGGTAATCGACTGCTGACTCAGAACTCCCCTACTTACATGGAACAATGGAAAGTGCCAACAGGGTTCTCACGACGAATGTCTTCATATTCCTCATATATGCCCCGCTTTTGCCTGGTGTTAACATACTCTACCAGCTCTTGGATGGTCATGGCATGGGGACCTGGAACATGTACTGAATCCCAGTCTAAGGCAGGAGGTAGGGAAAACAGGATGATCTCATCGAAGGGATCTGGGTGGCCGTTCACTTGGGGCAGGAACTGGAAATTCCAAGTGGCGAGGTCAATTTTGACGCACCCACCCAGATTTTCTGGAAGGCACTCCCTAGGCAGGTGCTGGGTAACTTCAGAAGTCTTTAATATCTGAATCTGTAAGGACAGAAAGAGTTATATTGAGTACTGGGGCTGTGGGTGATAAACCATACAGAAAGAAAAAAACTAATATGCTTATATTAGGTTTGAAAATCGGATGAGATTTGCTTGAAACACTGTGTATCTGAAAAGAGGAAGACTGAATTTTATCTGCTTGGTATTAAAATCCTATGAATTTATCAGATAACTAAGTCCAAATCCCCAGAATGGCTATCAAATTCACTCCAGGAATTAAGAGTCCCAAGTTGTTGTTTTTCTGAAATAAAGGGATAGGGATAGTGAACAAAAGCTTCATCCTGCTTAGAAGGCTTTTCAGCACCATCTCTTGCTGGTGCTCTTCTTTTGGGAAGCTAAGAATGTATAGACAGTCAATCTATACTTCTGTCAATCTCATACTACTCAGCCTATTCTAAGTCTCTTAGGCTGCCTGTCTCTCTATCTCTCCATATCTATCTATCTCTCCATATCTCTCTATCTCTCCATATCTATCTATCTATCTATCTATCTATCTATCTATCTATCTATCTATCGTCATTTTGTTTTGAGACAGGGTTTCTCTGTGTAGCATTGGCTACCCTGGACTAGCTTTGTAGACCAGGCTGTCCTGGACCTCACAGAGATCCACCAGTCTCTACCTCCCTAAGTGCGGGGATTACAGGCATGTTCCACTGTGCCCAGCTTCTTAGCTTATATTTTACTCACAGCTTGGTATGGCTGTCCTCAAATACAGATTTCTGTGAAAGAAAGACAAAGCCATCTAGAAATAGGAATCTAGGAAAAACATTAGATGAGTGATCATATTTGATTATCCACTTAAATATTGCAATGAAAGGCCAAGTTCTCCTTAAAATCTTTGTAGCATAGGAATGCTATTCTTAAAAAATTATCCCCCATGCTGGTGCTTCTTCTTGTTTATTGTCTGTGTGTTTGTATGTGTGCTTTTGTGTCAATGTATACCACATGCAGATGACGGGAGGCCAAAAGAGGGCAATGAATCCCTGGAATTGCAGTTATTGTTTGGAGGCAACCAACTATGATGCTAGGGACAACTTGGGTACATGCAGGTAACCACTGAGGCACCACTCCAGCTTACCACCCTCAACCTCATAAAAGCTATCCCTTTTCCTCCTCTTAAAGAACCAGTTCATGAGAACTGGAGAGATGTTAAGTAGTTGAGACCCAATTCAATGACCAGCCTAAACAAGGTGTAACTCCAGTTCCAAGGGATCCAAAGCCCTCTTCTGGTTTCTGATGACTCCAGGCACACACAGAGTACCCACACATACATGCAGGTAAAATACTCATATATGTAAAGCTGAAAAATAGTTCTTAAAAACAAATGGATGCAGCTTATGTCCCACCTCTTTTCTGAAGCTTCTTCTTAAACGCCCAAGGTCATACTATCTCCTCCATGCTCCCAAATGGCCTAAGTCCTCTGCTAAATGAACTCTGTGTTCTCTATCAGCACCAGGAACTCCTCAAGGGTAAGGACTGTCATTCAGTGTTTAATTCCCAGGGAATACGGTCTGGAAGTGTTCGACACACTGAAATTACATATGCATATGTAATTTCTAGAATTCAAACTCAAGAACGTGCTGAGTCCAGGGATGGTTTCAAGTACCAGTAATCCCAGTAGAAACAGGAGGACCACTACAATTTTCTGTTACTGCAATTCACTGTCTACACCCGTGAATACTAGAACAGACAAAGGGAGATTCTGTCTCAAAAGCAAAACAACAATAAAAATCATCATATGAAAGAAAAGTTACTTTAGAAACAGCTATCCTGTTCTGAGTTACTACTAAGAAGCTGCTTTAGCACCAAATGTCTTTATTTTCTCTACTCTGACCTCAGTTACAAAGATTTGCATTGGTAATTTTACTTTATAAATTTTATTACCATAAAAATCTGACAATGAAAACCTAATCTTTATTTCTATTATTTTATCTCAGGGTTTTTGTTTGTTTGGTTGGTTTTGGGCTTCTCTGTGTAGCCTGGGCTGCCCTGGACTCCTTTTGTAGACCAGGCTGGCCTCAAACTCACAGAGATGTACCTGCTCTGCCTCCCCAAGTGCTCAACTAAAGGTGTGTGGCACCACGCCGGCTTATCTTAGCATTTTTTGAGACAGGATCTCATGTAGTTCAGACTGGCTTCAAATTCACTGTGTAGCCAAGGATGGCCTCGAGTTTCCAGAGTTTTCTGTCAGCACTTTCCAAGCGCTGAGACAGTAGGACTGTACACACTATTATGTTATACTCCAATATTTGGGTTCATTCCTTTCAAAAGCTACAATCACTGGCTGAGACAAGAATCTTTCAGATATAAAACACTCAAGTGATTAATTATAGGAATAGAGTAGTTGTGGACATTTTTTAATTGGAAGCAATAAGAAACTGTTTTAAGATAAAACAATGGGGGTGGGACTGGGGAGATGGCTCAGTAGTTAAGAGCACTTTCTGCTTTTCCAAAGGACCTGGGTTCAATTCCCAGCATCCACATGGCAGCTTACAACGGTCTGTAACTCCAGGAATCTGACATCTTCACACTAATGCACATAAAAATAAAAGTAAATAAATTAAAAAGAAAAAATAATGTCCAGAGATGTGCATGGTAGTATACTCCAATCCCAGTACTTGAAAAGTTGAGACAGAAAGACTGCCAAACACAGCACAGCTATAGAACGAAACCCTGTCTCAAAAAATAAAAAGAAAGGAAGGAAGAGACTCTCCCCACAACCCTGTAGGTCACAGGGACTTAACAGTACTTTCCAATAAGTAAACCACTGTTTTTCTTTCTTTTTCTTTCTTTCTTTCTTTTTTTCTTTTCTTTCTTTTTCTTCCTTCTTTCTTTACATTCTTTCTTTCTCTTTTTAAATTATGCTGGAGACTGACTCCAGGGGCCTTTTATAAATTAAATAAGCACTGTACAACTGAGTTACATACTCAGCCCCAGATATGTTCTAATACAAATTCAGATAATGGAATTCTATTAAGTGCTAATTTTTGGTCTTGGTTTGGTTTGGGGTATTAGGGACTATACCCAGTCCCTTGGGCATGCTGAGTACTTTAAACTCTGAGTTACACCCCAACCTTTAAATATTGTTAAATATTAATAGTGCCTTGTGCTGCTCTAAGATAAACTTTGGAAATCATGCAATATTAAAATACTTCTGGACACTCTTACATGCATATGAAGATCAGTACTATTTTACTTAAGGTGCTGTGAAGAAAGAAAGTCAGATAACTGGTGACTTTTCCTAGCCATAAGTTTATGGACAATGGAGGCATTCTGTCCCCAACTAATGATAAGAGAATGTGAGTGACTACAATAAAAGGAGCAGAAAACATCCTGGGAGATGAGCCAGGAGGATTCTTTGAAGGCAGCAAAGAAACTCCTAACTGGCAGGAGTTCAGCAGCAGAGACTAGAATTTATTACCTAACTCCCATAAGGAAAGGATAGCCTGCCTTACCCTCTCCCGGACTTTGTCCTTCAAGAGCAGGCTGATGATAGAGTAGGGCACTCTGAACCATATAGGTGCTCCTACAATCAGGACCTTCTTCAGTCGAGCTGGGAATGCCCCCTGTGAAGAAAATGTATGAGGAGTTAAAGCCCAATGACACCTGGAACTGTTCAAGCCCAACGTATGGGTTCTTTTCAGTCTTCCTAATGTATAGTCAACAGAGAAACCTGACACCTTATCTCACACAAATACACAGGTTAAAATGACTAAAAGTGCCCGGCAGTGGTGGCACACACTGTTAATCCCAGCACTTGAGAAGCAGAGGCAGGCAGATCTCTGTGAGTTCAAGGCCAGCCTGGTCTACAAAGTGAGTTCCAGCATAGCCAGGACTGTTACACAGAGAAATTCTCCCTCAAAACAAAACAAACAAAAAATTTAAAACAAATAAAGAAATTAGAAGGGAATCTATCTTTAAGAGTAATGATATTAAGTTTATGTTTAGCATAAATTTTATGAATCAAAATTATTCTTTTATCTTTTTTCATTATTGGTGAGTGAAGGGCATATGTGCCACAGTGTGCACATGAAGATCAGTTTCCTCCCTTCACCTTTATATGGATTCTGGTTATTGAACATAGTTCACCAGGCTTTAATGGCAAGTGTTTTTACCCACTGAGTTATCTCATAGGCCTGATTTCTGTTTATACTATACATATCACACATGTATGCATCCTACAAAAATTCAGCTTATTAGCTGGGCATGATGGCACATGCCTGTAATCCCAGCACTCAGGGAGGCAGAGGTAGGCAGATTGAGGACAGCCTAGTCTACAGACTGAATCCAGGACAGCCAAAGCCACACAGTGAAACCTTGTCTCAAAAAAACAAACCAAACCAACAAACAAATAAACAAACAAACAAACAAAAAAACCCTTCAGCTTATTAAAACTTAGATTTTTAATAAGCTGAGAAAAAACATTTTGCTTATATAATCTTCATTTAGTTCAATATCTATGTATGTGTGTGCAATACTGTCTTTTAATCTTTTCTCCATTTGTTATTTATTAAACCAATATACAATCTAGAATATAACTCAGTGATAGTGTATATTTAGCATGCACAAGACCTAGGTTTGACACCCAGCACCACAAAATACATATATACATACATACTTACATACATACATATGACCTAGTGTGTGCAAGTACAAATGGCACCTTAGAAAAGAATACCACTTAAATTACTCTTAGATAATGCTATTTATACAAGACATAAAGATGATATATCATTGTTGGGCCACAGTACCTGGTTTCATTCTATTTTTTAACATTCCAGCCTTTCTCAGGGGCAAGTTTATCTCATAATAAGAAATCGGGGGGCTGGATGGATAGTGCATACCACATACATATGGAATTGCTGAGTTCAGTGTCCAGTACACACATTCAGAGCAGGTAAGACCAGCACAAGGAGAACAGGGAGGTGGATCCCTCAGGCTCGCTGTCCAGCAGTCTCACCTAGTAAACAGTGCACCCCGAGCCCCCGGGAAAGACCAATCTCAGAAAACAAGGTGTACAGGTCCTAAGGATGATCCCTGGCCTTCACTTTTATCCACGTGTGCACCTTCACACACGTGGATGCGTACATCCAAATTGAATAGATGGCAGGGAGGTGATCGACTCCACTAACTGGATAAAAGGAGTAACTGCAGCTTTTCAAAATCTCTACCCTAGTTTTTTCTCCCATTTTGAATAAACTAATCTCAATTTCACTTGTTACTCTCTGTTCTTTCTAGTTAATCTTGGTTCTGCTAAATTTGAGAAATTTACACATACTCCCTATACAGAATACATAAGATCCACCACGAAGTTCTCCAAAGGCTTCTTCATTCAGACTTAAAAACTACTTTTTATCCTTTTCTTCAAACACACAAAAGTTTACTTCAAGACATAAATAACCAAAGCCCCTTTTAACTGCCTGACTAATTTGGAGAAATACCTTCTTTTCAATAAAATGCTGGATAGCAGAAACTATTACAGTACATCATCTTCATCAGAGCAAAAAGATAAGAGAACCAGGTATAGTCCACTTAAACAACTATGCTGTACCAGCACTTGGGACGTGTAAAGCCTGGTCTACACAGCAAGCGCTAGGCAAGCCTATACGATGTAGGAACCCTGTCTCACAATAAGACTAAACAGAGAAAAGAAGTTACTTTATAAAGTCCTGGAAAACCTGCTCATTGATAGTGTCTTTAGGAAGGCATCTTCCATTAAAAATTCTTTTTAAAATTGATTTGATTTTATGTGCATTTGTGTGATGGTGTTGGATTCCCTGGAACTGGAGTTACAGACAGCTGTGACCTGTCATATGGGTTCCATGCAAAAGCAGCCACTGCTCTTAACCACTAAGCCATCTCTCCAGCCCCCATTATATATTCTTTAAAATGTACATATAACCTTTAATCAACTCAGTTTCTAAAAAGCTATCTTAGAAACACAAATGCCTTTTTTTTTTTTTTTCTTTTGAGAAAGGGTTTCATTATGTTGTCCTGACTTCCTGAAACTTGCTATGTAAGCCAAGCCGGGGTTGAACTCCTCTTTCCCCCTTCCCCATGTGCTAGAATATCTGGCCCAAATACTCTTTGTTTGTTTTGTTTTACCTAAGGTGAAGACAGGCTCTAGACTACAACTATCCTGGACTAGTCTGTACTCATATGTAGTACAAGCTGATCCTAAACTCTTGGCAGTCTTTCTGCCTTAGCTTCCCAAGTGCTGCTATTATAATCCCATGAAAACACACCCCATAAATGCCAAATGCATATTCTACCACTGAGCTACATTCTCAGCTCCAGCTCCTGAACATTTATTTTGCATATTTTTATTTTGGTTTCCTGAAACAAAGGATCTGATTATGTAGTCCAGGGTAGCCTTGATCCTTGACACATGATCCTCCTACCATAAATGCTGAGATTATAGGCATGTGCCACCATAAATGGCTTGCACAATCTATGCCATCCAATCAATACTCTGTAGTGATAGTAAATAGTTATACAATAAAATGCAGGGTTTTTTAAGGGGAGGATTATTCCTGTTTGAGATATGCTTTTGAGATATGACAGCCCATTATAGTGATTGGAATGAGAACGGCCCCCATAGCTCATATATTTGAATACTTGGTCCCAACTTGGTGGAACTGTTTAGGAAGGATTAGGAAGTGTGGCATTGTTAGAGAACGTGTACCTCTGGGAGGCAAGCTTTGAAGTTTCAAAAGACTGGTAGCGTTCCCAGTGTGCTCTCCCTCCAGCTTGTGGATCAATAATGAGCTCTTAGCTGTTAATACCACCAGGATTTTGCTGCACCATCATAGACTTCACCGTCTGAAACTGTAAACCCAATTAAATACTTTCTCTTATACATTGCCTTGGTCATGGTGTTTTGTTGCAGCAACAGAAAAGTAATGTATGCCATCATAGAACCTGCTATGTTCTATGGCCTTGAGCTTCTAATCCTCCTACCTCCACCTCTTGATGATAGGCACTTGAAATCAAATGCAGGGCCCTCTGAATGCTAGGAAGCATTGTACCAGCTGAACTACATCCTCAGCCCTATGTCATTATCTTTTAAAATACAAAAAAGCAAAAATAACTTTGTGGCTAGGGGAAGATGGCTCAGTTGGTAATGTGCTTGCCTCACAAGCACAAGGATTTGACTCTAATACCTAGAACTAATGTAAAATTGCTAAGTGTGGTGGCAGGCATTTGTGATTCCAGGAGCTGAGGCAGAAACAGGGGGATCTCTGGGGCAGGTTAGCTAGGCAGTCTAGCCTAATTGGTGATACAGGCCAATGACAAACTTTGTCTCACAAAACTGGATGGCATGCCTAAGAATAACACCTAAGGTTGTCTGCTGGCCTCTATATAAACAAGCACAAAGTGCACCTGTACACACACAGCACCTGCATGCACGCATATATATGAACACATTACCAAACAAACCGCTAGGCCTAAGATTTAGGGATATAAGCAACTACAAAGCAATGTGTATAGGACTTTTATGTATCTACATATGTGCATAATTCTACATGAATATAAATAGACCAAATGAATTTACATGCACTAAAGTGAAATGCAAAATACATTTCATCCAGAATTCAGCCAACACATGTCAAGAAAGTCACGAGATGGCAGTTTTCACAGCTGTCATAAAAAGGACTTTATTAATTACTTTCTGCAAAACTCAGGAAAAGGGACACTTTTATGACTAAGAACTTGCCTATGATTTTTCATTTTTATTATTTCCTTTTTAGTTTTTTATTTGTTGTTTTTTGTGAAAGGATCTCACTCCATATTTAGCTCAGGCTGGTTTGAATCTGACATTGTAGCCAAGGCTGAAGTAGAATTTACTATGTAGTTCAGGCTAGCTCAAACCCACGGCATTTCTCTTGCACTGCCTCCCAAGTGCTTGGATTACTGGTATTAGTCACTAGGGCAGCTCAAATCTTTCAACTTGACTTTTAAGACCACTTCTTGTCCTAAGGAAGCAGACATTAGTTTTTGTACAGAGGTGACCTTTAAAATTTAATATAATATCTGAAGTTTACATTTTTTTCTAAACATTTTCCCAAAATAATAATAATAATAATAATAATAATAATAATAATAATAATAATAATAA